ACGACCACCAAGGCCCCATGCACCTCCAAGGCTCCTAGCATCACCACGACGGAGGCTCCAGTGACGACCACATCGGGACCCACCACTACCACGGTGGCTCCCGGTAGCACCACCAGTTCGCCTGCTACCACGCCGGCTGCTCCTGCGACTACTTCGGCTGTACCCAGCACTACCACTGCGGCTCCTAGCAGCACCACGTCCGTTCCCGGTACCACCACCAATGCGCCTGCTACTTCGACGGCTGTTCCTGCGACTACCACAGATGCACCAAGCACCACCACCAATTCGCCTGCTACCACGACGGAGGCTCCAGTGACGACCACATCGGGACCCACCACTACCACGGTGGCTCCCGGTAGCACCACCAGTTCGCCTGCTACCACGCCGGCTGCTCCTGCGACTACTTCGGCTGTACCCAGCACTACCACTGCGGCTCCTAGCAGCACCACGTCCGTTCCCGGTACCACCACCAATGCGCCTGCTACTTCGACGGCTGTTCCTGCGACTACCACAGATGCACCAAGCACCACCACCAATTCGCCTGGGACAACGACTGTGAAGCCTCGTCCATCGACGACGAAATTTTTGCGCACGACGAGTTCTTCATCTGTCCCTGGTTACTAAGTAGTGGGTAAATTTCAACATGCATACGTCGCTAAATGGATCCCAATTACCTGTTTCTCTCATCCTGCTAGTGGTTCATAAAGTGGAGCAAACGATGCAAAAAGTAGAAAGTGTAGCCAACACCACTTTTCTTAAGGTAACATGTGGTTAGGATTTGGCCAGCTCATGTCGTTATTCTATGAATTTGTGAAATGTGCGACTGCTATGGACCGAACTTTTGCTACCTGGATCAAACCGACATCTGTTGTCAGGCTGAAACGGGAATCTATGGGAAAACGTTCAAGAAATCTGGATACCGTTCAGCCAAGACTGAAAACCGTTCAAAGAAAATTTCTCCCCCTATCCCTGTAACCCCGGGACTTCGTCCTAGTACCCCCGCGTGCACATACTTCGAAATATAATGCTTACTCAGTTTACGTACAACCCCTAGTAAGAGGTGAGGTGGTCAGAGTACAAAATATATGCCTCATCATTTAACTACCGTATACCCCCCTCTTCAGTACCTATGAAAATGTCAGTGAAATCTGATGTAGATTTTATAAGTTTGAACGGTTTTCAGTCTTGAACGGTATCCAGATTTATTGAACGTTTTTCAGGGATTGTCGGCTGAAACGTGGTCATCCTGAGTGTGTAGTCGCAGGAGCTGCTGGTGTGGTTGCAGTTGTATTGGTGGTGGTAAGGGGAGCCACTGTAGTGCTGCTGGGAGCCGCAGTGGTGGTGGTGGGTACAGCCGTAGTGGTTGAAGGAACAGCTGGCGTCGAAGCAGGCGAACTCGTGGTGGTACCGGGAGCTACGGTGCTGGGTAGAGAGTCTGCCACGGATGCACCTAGCACCACGAATAAGTCGCCTTCGACGTCGACGGTAGCCCCTTGTACCACCATGGCTATGCCTAAAGTTGTGATGCCAGCTCCGACTACGACAAGATTTTGGCGCAAATCTACTACAGTACTCGATCGCCAAAAGTCACCCCTCGCTAAGTCACCTCATCCGCCGAATTCCCCCGATGGACATCTTGTACAAATATTGACATAATCACGATTTTCATCGAAGGATTTGGGATCAGAATCACTACATTTACGGGAAAAGATGCAAGAAATAGGGTTGGATTCAAAATATTGAAACATAACGTTATCGTTCACATTGAACATATACGGCTTTCTATTGGTTGAAAACACAGTCGGATTGACATCAAGACGTTGACACAGCATATTCCGAGAATGACCTCGACTCAGAATCCCTTGAACAATGATAAGTATATTACACATTACAGTAGTGTAATGGCTTTGGCATGTATTATCTTGATGTTTTCATTTTAATACTGATGGCGACGTGTTCGAAAGCGATCTTTGGAGGGCGTTGGTGGTACTGCTGCTGCCTCCGCGGCTGCTATAGCGCGTGCTGCTAAGACTGTGCATATTGATATAAGTCACGTGGATACTTCCGGGCTCGACTTCGTCTTCGGGGGCAGCTCCTGCCTGTCGTCGTGTGTCCTGTGGTCGACTGATCGGGTCCAACGGCGTTGGCTTCATCTCAATGTACTTGGCATGGCCTTGCTTTGATTTCGTCGGACTTGTCACTTGCAACAGCGACGATGTGTTGGCAATCAGATCTTGGATCCACATTTCGTTGGTCCAGGTATCCTTCGACACTTGCTTGTGTTGCGAGAACGTTGGCGGGGTCGTCACCTCTTCAAACCGCGGGTAGTACAGCGCCTCGACGCTGTGGCTACTGTGGATGCTACTGCTACTTCTGCTGCTGTCGCTTCGACAGAATCGGCCTTCCTTGTCCTTGGATCGGGTCGAGGTTACAATGTGCACGCACGAGTGTGATTGTTGGTGGTGGCTACGTTGGCTAGAGTAGGACGACTTGAACGACAACGAGTGCGTGTCGGAGCTATCAAACTGATTGAAGAGGAGTGCCTTTGTGGGCGTGGGGGCCGCCAACGCGCACTTGGCACATGCGTCGATGCGCGTGGGGATGCCGCAGACGCGCACGGTCCACGGATGGCTGCATGAGTTGCAAAAGACTTCGCCGCATTTGACGCAGTTTAATTTTTTGGTAAACCCAAGGCCGCCATGGAGCTTCTTCTGGCAGAGGAAGCACCGCCGCCGCAGGTGTTTCGACACAACTTGGGACGACGTAAGAAAGTGGCCTTGGGCGAGGCGGTTCTCCCGCAGGAACGTGTCGATGTCCAGGAGGCTCTTGCACCGGCGCTTGATGGCAACGTCGATGGCCCAGTCTGGCGCGGCGCCGCGAAAGTCGGCGTGCACCACGTACGCGATGCGCATGTACCCCGGTCGATCCGACTCGACGAAGACATGACCAGTGCCCACCTGCACCATCCGGACAAGGCCCAACGCGTGTTGCATATCCGGACAACACATCAAGTTGACCGACTTGAGGCTGCGCACCCACCCGCGCTTGCCGTGGACTTCAAACTCGTAGTGACCTTCCAAGTAGCAGCAGTCGCGCTCGAGGATGACCTGCTTCAGCGGACTCTTGAGCGCCATCCAGTTGATGGATACACTTTCGTTGGGGTGGGAACGAGTGGGTTCCACCAGCGTGTACAGGTTGGCCGAGTCCAGCAGTCCGCGGCCGAACCGGTGCACGTACTCCTTGGTGAGTTCCGTCGTGTCGTTGCGGAACAATGCGACCACTTCGTCGATGGTGCCAGCAACTTCTGCCACCCCCACCGACAACTTGAGTTGGTCGGATGCTCCAGCGCCGCCGGCGTTGACGGTGCCGCGGTAGATTTGGAGGCCATGGTCGTTGGATGCCAACGTCCAGCTCACACCGGACCGGTTGCTCGGTGATGCGGATTGTACCAACGACTTTTGAACCTATGGGGAACCAAACGGGTTTCCGTGATGTTAGCCGGGTTGTGGTGTTAGCTAGCTACACGTACAACGTCCATGGCGGTAGCATACGCTTGCTGCTTGAGCCGCTCGACTTCGTCAGTCGACAACGGCGGGCACTTGAAGAAATTGGGTGGCAGAGGCAACTTCATGCAAACTGATCAAAGTGGAAGTGGGGCACAACAAACAATCGCATCAGGTGGTGGCTGCCCGGCTCGCGCGGCGTATGTAAACCAGGTGGCAAGTGGTACTACGGTGTCAAAATAGTTCTTGAAAAATTACAGCCGTTAATTATTTGCTTGTCATTTACTCGTCAAATTATTTATCGCCTACTTTAAACTAACGTTAACATGTAAATAGAAACAGACTAATCACCAATGCGGATATGTATCGTCTAGCATCACGGGTAAGGAGAAGAGAAGCTTCAGACGTAAGATCTGCGAGGGATAGTTAGTACTTCGAAATAGGCTTTATTGATCTACTGATCAATATACGGCTACGGGTAGTGGTGGAGGGGTCAAAATAGTCGACTTGTGAGGTGGTTGTCAACCTTGTACTATTAATACTTGAAGTAGTACGTGAATTGGATATGGGTGTGAAAATGATGTGAACAATATGCGACGTGGATTGTTTATGCCACCCATAAGGTTAACGTGTTTGGTGATCCAACACAAGAGTTTTCCCTGAGCTTGTGATGCGTATGTTGTGAACTGGTTGTCCTCCGGAGTACGACCTACATGTATTGCGTGAGCGATATGAATCCAAGACTCAAGATTGTTCACAATTTTCAAATTGGCTGGTTCTGCTCAGGTTTGCGTAGACAAGGCTGACTTTGTAAGTTACTAGTATTGTATTGGGGACTAGAACAGGCACTATATTTAGCGTCAGGTACACTTGCCCCGGAAAGCTAGGAAAGGACACGCCCATATCTTCTGACAGTTGAGTCAACCAGCTTCTCGAGTCGCCAAGTTCGTAGTTTGCTTGTGTCCGAGTCCTGTACTACTCGTAGTATACATGTATAAGCTTATGCACTAACGTAGAGCTCCAATTTAAGAGACATATTTTGGAGTCGCTGCCAGGAAATGGAAACTGAGAGGAATGGGTTTGGACTTCTGAAAACTGATACTCCAGGAGTTCAATAGGAAACCCATGTACTATTAATATTAGTAATTCAATAGGAAACACATGTACTATTTTAATACTCAAGTACTAAGTAGTACATAGGAGTAATTCAAATAGGAAACACATGTACTATTAATACATACTAGAACACGTATAACGTGTCGGTGGTTACAGTAACGTTACAGGTCATTCGTTTTGAGGAAGTCCTGAGCAAGGTCTACGGTAACGTTAGCTAGACACATGAACCAGCAACGTTATTGTCATATTAGGCATGCTATATTGGTACAATTGGCACCCATGGTCTCGTATGAATTCGACCGAGTGCGACATGGGAAGCTTGGGCGGTGTAGTGCTCGGAACGTCATGGTTATGGAGAGGGCGTGTTCACCATACTCAGTACCATGTGTCCACCATAGCGTACATCTAGGATTTCTATAGCATACCGCAACGCAGTCAAAGCACGACATATGTATGTCGGTTGATTCCACCGTGAACTAATCTAACTTTCAGTCACAAGTGGTTGTGTCTTACCGGCACTGTTTACTATTTGCATGAACTTGACGCGCGGCCTTTGGCGGTTGAGTCACAGCAGCGAGACGACGCCGGCCATCAACATAACCACTCCAACGCTTGTCATCCTATTACTATTAATGTTAACGCGAATACTAGTAGTACTGTAGTAGTATAAACAACGCGAAAACCGATTTTTATTGATTTTTCTTTTATTATTTCGTACTACAGAACTCCCTCCTTAAACGAAACGGGGTAAACTTGATAATTTCTGAAACTTTATATTATCCAACCATGAAGACTTTTCAAATTTCAAACACTTGAAGCTTGCGAATACCTGTAAGAGTTAATTTACTGTGTGAATTGCATAATTTGCTCTGTTTCGTTTGGGGAGATTAGTATTATCATGCAGTATAATGGATATAGTGAGGGAGAACCTATTTTTATACTATGAATACTAGGTTTTTTAATACTTGAAGTACATATTTTAGGCCGAGATGCCACAGAAAATTTTATGTCAAATATTATTCTGACAGAGCATTCCCATTTCAAATGGGGTAAAAATTGGACAGTTGCAGTCAGAAAACACTATAAAGAATCGACGCATTGTGTCCATTGATATATATCAGATTTGGTAGCCAATCACACACACAAAAGCTGTGGTTTGAGAAATTGTAAAAATATTTCTGAAAAATTGCATAAAGAGGGGTTTTCTGACATTTTTTGTAGCAGCCAGAGTGGCCCCTGATGTCTTCGATTCTGAGATTCCCATGGAGCGGGACATGACTTGCTGTGTGAAGAAAATACCAGATCGTACACAATTGTCAATGGATGGGCGTACGAGTGGGTCCAAAAGAGTGGGCACAGTGGTCCTCCACATTTGGTTGGTCCAATATACTAGGTACCACACTAGGGCAAGACGTACTTATGGGGTGCACGGCACAGTCGGATAGAACTCCTGTGTATCGATGGTCTGGATTGACAGGTACTACTTGTATTTCATTATGTCGGACACGATGTACCCCCAATGCAGATTATTGCAGCTAAGATACACAACATGAACGGTAGAGAGGTGTGCGAGTGCCAGCGGTGCGAATGGGACTACGTCTGTATGTCGATGGATTCAATCAACGCGGACAGATTGGACGTGTAAGCCATTGACAGTCAAGAAGTCATTCGACTACTACATACGTCTCACACCGCCAGCATTGCTCGTTTCAAAATGGCTGTTTTAATCAAAACGCTTTGGTCAAACTTTGAATCTCAGGCATTTGGATCGATTTTCATTGGATGGTCGTCTACGAGTGTACTGATTGGGACGGTTGGCATGTCCACGGGCCATCTCCCATGCAACTTTGACGAATGAGAGGTGTCAGGTAACATCCAAATTTTGGCGGGTACATGGCGCTCTCACAGAGCAGAATTCTAGGAGGCAGGAACTCCTGCCGCCATATTTCAGCAACTATGATGCACGGCGGAGATTGAAGCTCGAAAAAGGGTACAAAGACTCTAGGTCAATGGTACTTTCGTGCATTGGCAGCAAATACGTACCTGCCTTGTATGCATTATTCATTTTGATACACATTAATGCATACCAATGCATGCATACCTTTATTACCGGTAACTAGTTACGAGGGTGGGGTTAAGCCACCTTATCGTATGCTGGTTGGTGAAAACCTAATCTCTAGTCAAGGTCCGCGTTTTGACTGGCTTGCAAAGCCTCCATCCGCGTCTTGTTTCGCTTGGCGATCACTCTCGAGATCGTTTCTTTTTCGTGATCAGTCTTGGTAGCCCAGTCCGTGATGCGCATCAGTGACCCATCCGGCTGGACGACAATCGGGCCCAGGTGTTCCAGAGCCACAGAAGTACCTCCGACAGTCACGTTTGGAACTGCGCTCGTTTCGGCCGTGGAGGACGATGAAGAAGCGGGTAAGGCCAAGAGAGGGGAAGGCGCCTCCTGGGAAGGATTGGTGTTGTTGGCGGCGCTCATTGCAAACTGTGCTGCAAGTGTGATGGCAATAAATATTGCTGTAGCCAATCACATGGAGTTAGGTTAAACACGATAAACGTGTTGTAACATACTTTCCGGAGCAGCACGTTAAATTACCGGAATGATGGTGGTGTGCACGTTTTATATTAACTCTCCCAACTTTAACGAACCCGGATCGAAATGACATGCGACCACCACCAACACCACCCCCGGTTGCTTCGAGAACCAAGGTATTCAAGCATCTAGAACATGCTAGCAAACATTCCAGAACAGCCATGGCTTGCTAGTTACTGTATGGTACACGTACAATATAAGTTATTACTGATACATTATTGTCGAACCGACACATCCCCGGAAAGATAAAGTATCCGGATGAAATCACACTCATGATTCGCCAACTCTGAGATATCGAATCACGGCACATCATCATGCTGCCAGTGTACGTGCCAGGTCGAGGTGCCGTCGATAGCTTCGCAGACGACGTTGGCATGCCTCACAATGCAGTTCGTCTCGTCGTGGGGCTTGTTCTTGGGTGTGTACTCGCACCGCTGTCGCACGTCGTCGTGGCGCCGACCTCCCGGCATGCGTTGAACACACTGCTGGGCGTGAGCATTGGCTGGTTCGTGTTTGATTTCAATCTCGTGCACAGTCTTGTTCCAACATTGCTCACGTATGGTCTCATGTCGTTTGCTCCGCGGTGCGTCCTCCTTGTCTGTCCTTCTTAGTCGACTCATACTGATCTAGCGAGTTGGTCGGACCAGTGGCCTCCGCTATTCTATTCATGCATTTGATAGCCTGGTACGTCCTATCTCATTGCTTTCGCTCTCTGACATATGGATGTATAGCCACGCCTACCGCGAATTGCTTGGAGCCGATATCATTTGGGACGGAGCGCAGATGGTGCTGACGCTCAAGTTGGCCGGTACAGCCATAAGCTACAGCGATGCCGTGTTGCCTTTAAACCAGAAAACGCCAAGTATTCTGCGCAACCAGGTCACAGCCAAGCCGTCGCTGTTATCCGTCTTGGGTACTTTTGCATTCATTCATGGGGTTTCAGACATTTGGTTCCGTCTTGCATTTTCCATATGATATCATTTCACGTTCTCGTGTGTACAATTCTCGTTTGAAAGCATTGAACAATCCTTTGGTTACATATAGTTCTACTAAAAAATTCCTCCCACGGTTGGTTGAATAAACCACCAAACAATCGCCCGACCTTTCTGATTGCATTTGAAAATGCATACTTTTAGCCAATCATAATGCAGCCTTCATTCTCTTTATCCAATCACACGGCGTTCGTCGTTTTGTTGGCGATTTCAACACTCCCTTGAAATTGGCAAAAAAAAAGCACAATAGTATGTAGCATACAAGTGCTCTTCTCTCTACGTGGCTTGAATTTCGTCCTACTGTGACCTTGATTCATTCTCTCACTTGCAATCTCGTCCTTTCCATATCCAATTTATGCACTACGAGTATACGTAATATTAAACCTAATGTGTATGTAGGCTACGTCTACTTCTTTCCTACGTTTTTAGTCGGCCCTATCTTTGAGTTGAACGACTACTTGGCATGGACCGACGATGCCCAGGTCGCGCCAGTCGCAGTCATTCTGCCCAAACTCGGCACTTTAATCGTGTGTATCGCGGGGCACGCCGCTTCCGAAGTCCTTTTCCCCATCATGACGATGGACGCACCACCTTATTACGCATCATATGCGTTTCCCGCTCGTTTTGTATTGCAGTTGGCAGCGACGATGTTTTATAAATTTCGATTCGTACGTTTTATACTTATATTTTTACAATTATTCACATTATTGATTTGGTACGAATTTTCGGACCCGGTTCAATCACGAATCGCCCCGATATTGGTCAACCTGAAAATGCATGTCGCTGATTGGCTACATTATTTTTCTTTTGATTTCGTGCTTTCTGCAGACTCGGGAAAGCCAATGAAAAATTTCGCGGCGAGTATTGTGAACGGTTTTTCGAATCGCGCAGAATTGGGAATTTTGTGGTATATTCAAAAAATATTTTTTATATAACTTTGGTGTATAGTACATGGTGTGGCAATTTGGCGAAGTGGGCGGCGTGCTCGCTGGCTACGGCTACGATCCCAACACACACGAGTGGTACGACGGGCACTAAACTGATATACCAGTCACTTCTCTGCCTTTTATTTGCATCGAGCAGGGACGGGCTTCGCAACAACAACCTGCTTCTAGTGGAATTTCCCGTGAATTTGCGGGTTGCCGTCAACAACTGGAACATAAAAGTCGCCACGTGGCTCCACACTTGTACCAATATGTTGCTATTTGAAAATATTTTTTTATTTTATATTATATATCATCAATATATTTACCGATGGTTCGGCTAGATATCTACCAACGGGTAGGCCACAAACAGGGAAAACCTACGTTCGTGTCCATTCTGAGCGTGTTCGTGGCGAGTGCGCTATGGCATGGACTCTTGCCTGGGTATTATGCGTTCTTTATCGTCGCAGGACTGGGCGTGGAAGTTGGAAGGCGTACGTGACGACTAAAATGATCCAAAGGGTGGAGTCTCTATACTTTTTTATTTTTAAATTATTATTGGTCTATTTTTTAAAATATCCACATCCTTGATTCTGTTGGTATGGGATTCTCTAATATTGTGAGATTGATTAACTGCTCAACGACAACGCGACGACATTTTCGAGTTTGGGTTTGATTTCTCTACAATTCGATATGCCCAACCATGATATGATAGTAGATTTCGTTCTGGTATGTAAATATATACTGAGCATACGTGGATAAAAAATATGTTACTTAGACATTCGCCGTCATGTTCGTCCGTATTTTCACTATACTGAAGACCGCCAAGCCCATCCGTGGGCATTTTTCGGCGACTTTTTGGACCCATCCAAGGGCTCCCGGTTGGCCATCGTATACGATTTGGGAGGTACACACCGCGTACATATATATATACATATATATATATATATTATCCTAAATCTATATACATGACCAAATCTTTATATATGACCAATATATATATATATGACCAATGTATGCATATATATATGATGGATATATATATACAGTATATATATATCTATACAGTATATCAATATTTATTTATTTCTATATTGGTCATATATGTCGAGAAGAAACGTCGAAACATAGCATCGTTGTCATATAGTATTGTGTCTACGGCGGCGGTGGGGTGGGTTGGTAGTCTTTTGATGAATACTGGTGTAGGGGTGGCGTTGTCGTGGGTGATGATCAACTACTGCGCGCCGTCGTTCGTGTGGTTGGATATGACCAGGTGCTTCAACTGGTGGGCCACGGTGTACTACGCGCCACACGTTATGATTGTGGTCGCCCTCGTCCTGTTTACAGGCACCGCCGCTAAATCAACCAAGAAAAGCGATTAATATATTGTCGATTTGATACAAATTAATTTGGGGATGGGGTGCAATCAATTCGCGCCAACCAAACCGATCCACAATCGATCTGATTGGTTGAATTTCATTGAGAAGGTTTTGATTGGTTAATAATGTTGAGCTCTTCTGAAGTAGCCAATCAAATCAATTTAAATTCCAACGAGAAACCACGCCACAGCACAAAATTTCACTCGAAAGCACAATATCGAGTGTTGTGTTTAAAACCAGAAGCGATGGATGGAACAACTGTACTTGTGCTCTGGGGTTTCGGGGGTTTGGGTTTACTACTTCGGTGGTGGTTCTGATACTTTGGTGTGTCGCCTGGAGGAGTTGGACTGCTCCCTGCACGATGTAGAAATGATCTTGGGTCCTCCTCGAAGTACTTATATAAGTTAGTAGTATTCTAATACTATGTAGTTGTACTGGATATGTATGTTCGTGAGAATAACAACGCAGCTCTAGGAGAAAGTTTACATAAAGACCGAACGCTTTTGTATTGTGTTTGCGTGTAGGTATTCATGCAACGACGGCGTATTCTATTCTAGCGTTCCTCCAGTGAAAGTTAGTTTTAACAGTAAAGCGACGGGGTGATGGATTTATTATACTTCGAAGTAACATGTTACAGATAACGTTACTGTTTGCCGGATTTCACTTGTGGCCACAAAAAGCAAGTCGGGTTAATGGATTTATAATAACATGTTACACCTATTGTTGGATTTATTATAACATGTTACACCTCACGTTTGATTTCAATTGGGTTCACAAAGGTTCACAAAGCAAGTGCAATACTACTGCAAACACATGCCACTATAGTGTTATTATGACCAGTCAATTTATTTGTGCCTTTTTGCTGTCGTCAGCATCAATTTGTGTCAGATTGTGAGCTTACTCAATGTGTGGTATAAATATTTAAAGATCTAGTACTTTTTCCAACCTGCTGGCTAAATACAATGATCGATGATTGGTTTGAAATTCTGAATAGTGTCGTTTGATTGGCTAGGTCATTCATTGAGCATATATTTGTTACTTTATATATTGGACAATATCCCGTGTGACAATAACTAATAATGTCTCGAAACCACTGCTCGATAAGTTATACGATGATCAAAAACGTGTACACCACCATGTCACGATGTCTCAAGCCACGGAAGCGCGAGCAAGTCGGCGACTGTGGGGCGCTGCGACGGCGTTCGCTCCAGCATGGACAAGACAAACTGCTGGCCTTCGGGGGACACGAGCTCCCACTGCGCTTGTGGACGGACCATGTGTCCTCGGAGCATGCGCTCAACCACCTTATCCGGATGCGATCCAGGGAATGGCATGCATCCTATGAGGTACTGGAACAGCACGACGCCTGCACTAAACACGTCAGCGGCGGGGGTTAAAGGGGGGGGCCTATGATCGTCATGATCGTCGGTGGTGGCTCGCCCATGACCGAATTGAAACTCGACCAGTTCGGGCGCCATGTACCCAATGGTGCCGCGCGTGGGGGTAGTACTAGTAATAGTAGTCGTCGTTGCTGCTGTGGCGTCGGGCGAGTAGTTCACGACATCGACTAGTTGGTGGGCAAACCCAAAGTCGGCTAGCACGATCGTGGCAACGTTGTCGTCGTCGTTATTAGCCATATTGCGAAACAAAATGTTAGACGGTTTGATGTCCAAGTGCAACACGCCGGCGTTCGTGTGCAACGCCAGCAACGTCGACAGCAACGTACGCGCCAACCGTTTGGTTTGGGCTTCCCGCCTTATGCAATGGGGCCGCGACAGTAGCCCGCCAATCCGATCCGCGAGGGTGCCGCCTCGATGGAACGGCATCACGAGCCCGACGCGGCCCTTGTGGTCACCGACGACCTTGACCAGCTTGGTCACATGCGACTTCAAATACGGCGACGTGCCAGCACAGGTTGCCACGTGTTGGAGGATCGTCACTTCGTTCGTGGCCAATTCGGCATGCCCCGGTTGTCCATTCGTGTCGATCGACTTGAGCGCAAACGTCGAGCCTGTGGAGACGTCTGTGAGTAAATGCACAGAGCTGGACCCGCCTTGGCCTAACAACCGCCCAATGCGGAACCCAGAGTACCAGTCTTGGATGTGCAAGGCATCGACGAGAACTTGTAGCCACGCTAGCTTGTCTGCGACATCGCGTGCGGTGAAGACGTGGCGCGTTTTCGTGGCAAGGCGACTACTGGTGGATGAAGATCGATTGCGTGACATGCTCGAAGAAGGCTGGTTGTGGAGGATGTCGGTGGGGATGGATTCGACGATGGCAAACGTGTCTGCGGCGAGGTCTTGGAACTGGATGTACATGGAACTCGACAGATCCAACGTGCACACGGGCGTGGGTTTGTACACTCCGTGGCCGGACGACTTGAACCACGACAGGTCCCGGCCGTTGAACGTCACCCAACAGTCGACCAACGTAGCCACGGGCTTCCTCCAAGGCGTCATCGTCCATCGAGATGCTTTCGGAACTTGCAACACCCCTTGCTTCCGCGGCAGCTCAACGGACGACGCCGCGACGAGATGGTCGAACGACGACGGCAGCGACACCACGTTGGCTGCGTCGTCGACAGACAGTTCGCTCGAAGCGTAGCTCGCAGCGGACGAGTACAACGCCGTGGACATGACGTCGTCCTTGACATCGACACGGGAAGACGAGATGAGCATGGCGAGCAAGCTCGTCGACGACAACTGGATTTGAGAACTGTCATCAACGACACATGGTTGTATGATCGGTGGGTTCCTGGAACTTGCTGACGGTCGAAATAGTGCAGCATCCAATAAATAAAATTAATATAATTTTATATCTCGATGCGAATAATCAATTATTTGTGAATGTTCTTACGATATTGGAGAGAGAATAAAAAGGTGGACTAAATGCGATTTATGAGCGAATTAACTATTGTTGCCATGGATACTAATTACTTTGAAGTACCAGACGTTCGTGCCACGTACAGCACGCACGACCTACAATCACACATTTACAGTGCAGTTACAGATTGTAAGTGCCGTAAGCAGGGCTCCACATTTTCGCCTACAAACGTTAGCTGTATAATTAACTGTAAGACGCTGCGCTTTTCTCCAAGATGTTGCTACCGGTATCGACGACATGAGATCGTCACTGGAACAATGCAATTCAGTGGGGCGTCGACTGTAAATATTATCATTCCTTGTAAGGGCTGACGAATACGGTACAGTAGCCAATCGCAGCGTGAATGGACGCAGCGTTTTCACAATGAGTGACGTGTGATGTCCTAATTAACTTACTGTAATAACAACTTCCGACTGGCGTTTCGTAGACGCAGCAATTACTGGCATACAGTCAATGCATATAAAGTACAATTTGCAACTTGCCAAGTTGCTTAGTTTTAATACCTTGTTATCCTGGTACAGTATTTGCAAGTTGCGACGTTGCTTATGTCTTTAAAAGTCCTCCCCTCCTTGCCCTGGATTTAGCAGATTTTTTTGGTACTATTATAGTATGCGTTGAAGTGTTCTCTGTCGTTGACTCATCAGCGACCTTTGGCCTACACATGTTCGTGCCTTTTTTCACGTGTGAGGGGGGGTGGCTTGCCAGCAACATACAAAATACTCCGGAGTACGATTCAGTCGGATAATATGTTGGAAAAAGAGACATATCGTAAGCTCACGCTTTACACCAATTAACAGTGCAACGCTAGCTGTAGTAGACTGTGAATAACATCATTTTGATTTGGTGTCGCGGTATATGTACAGTAACGTTAGTATATACATCACTGCAAAGATACACAAAATTTTACTATAGCTCAATCGTAAGTTTGAGGGACGAACATTGCCAGTAAAGTGGCGAGGTGTTGAGGTGTTAAATTTGGTTTTACTGGCGAATCGTACCAGTTTTTCATCTAACACTGTCAAGGTGGTGGTGACACTGGTGACAAATATTTGCACTGTTGCTTACGGAATCTTATCACTTGTTCTTATAATGTCATAGTCAAATGCAGTGGAAACCAAAACATCACATTCCAACGAGGGGTTAAGTGCGTGCATTTCAGCGGTTAGCGATAGCTACAGTAACCACTGGTGATGCACTTAACCCCGGGAATACCTACACAAGGGGGTCCGAGGTCACGAGGCTACGAGGTTACGTAACCAATAATGCACCTGTTGCTCTCAGTTGACAACTGAGTAAGGTTCATGAACTAAGTGATGCGGTGATCTGTGTATAATTTGACGTACAATTAGTACAAAATAATGAGCCTCTCAAACCTAATATTGCATGCATATTCGAATTACATAATGCCCTGTACGATATTATTGTGCATACGTTGACGGTTTCAGAGTAACCAAACTTGCCGTCCTATTGCCGTGATTCCATGGACATTGTTCACCGCATCGGTCAATACTTTGCCCAGCATGAACAAAACATGAGCGACGTGATGAAGCAAGCGCTGGAGCGTAGCCAAAGCCTGGTTCCAGACGCGCCGCATGTGAAACCGCCTCGGGCTGTGCGCGGATCATTCTTTTCTGCAAAAAAGACTTCGAAACCACCACCGTCCTCTACCAGCCCATCGTCCCCACGTCCTGTATTCACTGAGGACTCATCATTATGTTGTCCGAAGGCCTCTACTACCAACACAGGACCGACACCCCCAACACCAACGAATCGAGTCAAAGCCAAACGGAAAGGAATGTCACGCCCCAAGCAGAAAAAAACGTCCTATTCTACGCCCCCATCCACGACCGCCGCAGACATAGCGTTAAAACAATCCACGGCACTAGCTCTACAGGAAGCATGGCGATTGACTTGCGAACGGGCCAAGAAAATTCAAGTAACGTTCGTACAAGATGTGGGAGTGTGTCATCAAGTGTAGGCGGATCAAGAAGCCAAACTCAAGGCGGAACAAGAGCTAGAAAGACAAGAAAAAGCCAAGCTCGACAGTCAGCTCCAGCAGATTGAAACCGCTCGGAGCCAAGCGTTTGCTAAGCAGCCCCGTCCGCCCCCCCCGTCCGCCCCCAAATGTACCAGCTAAAACCTCGTTTATAGTTGTTTTTTCATTCTTTTTGCATTGTGAACTTGTGGTAGCGCTCCACTGCGCTGAAGCATGGTGCGAGCCTCGGCGAGTTGGGCGCAAATACCAACGACATGTCAAGCCATCGATGCCAGCATTGCGTGCCTGTGAGCAGCCTGCCACGTCATTACGTAGTTCTGAGCTTACAACTGCAACTACCCCTCGGTCCAGTTGCAACAACAACAACGATCACCCTGGAATGCTACAAGTGTTTACAAACCTGAATCCAGTGACCAAGTTTGGCCCCGTACCGTCGTCGACGCCATCCTTGGATGAGTTGGAGACAAGCCAACGGACCAAGGTAAGCTAATCTACGCTATACAACTCGACCACTCGAGTTGCTGCGGTAGTTGCTGGAATATGCGTCTGCGCTGTCAAAAGTGCGCGAGAAACTCCAACACCAACGGTCGGTGGCCACATTCGAAGCAACCCAAAATGCGCAATGCAAACGTCGAGAAGCCAGCAATGCATCGTTGGTTGCGACCATCGAACAATTGCAATTGGAAAAGGAACGTTGGGAACAGTCGTTGCGGACGCTCCAGGTACTAACTACTCTACGAGGATGTAGGTGCTGTGGACTTCATGGAATAAATTCGCAACGAATGGTGTGGGTTAGACGGACGAAGCCGCCTTACGAAGCGAGAGACACCGGTTGACGATGGAGCGGCGAATGGCACGCCGCGCAGCGAAAACGCTCAAGTGCTTGGAGACACCAGAAGCGATCGAGATGTGGGCACAAGAAGAGCGAGTTCGTGCGGCTCAAGCAAAGGAAGCGCGGGACCGTGCCAAGCGAAGGGTGCAGCAGCGCACCGGAGATGCCACTATAGTACCCGAAACATTCGACGAAGCAGCAGACGAGCAGCACAAGGAAGGCTGGCATGTGAGTCCACTTAGCTCGTCGCGATTTCAGAAGGCCTTTTTTACCTACAGTAGCAGTTCCGACGACAACAATTGAAGGGGTGTCAAAGGAAGCGGAGCTGCTAATAAGACCAATATGGGTTTTGCTGGATTGCTTTACTGCACAGGATCCTAACGGGGGATCCAATTCCATGTTCCTAGTGTCGTTTCTTAGCGTCGATGGCTTTCTTGTTGTTGCCTTCGTTGAATGCCCGTGTGGCCCAGAACACCTGTAAAACAAGAGTCAAGCCTATGATGATACAAAGCTGTGATGTTCATACCAACGCTGCTACATGGAGGACACTCAGACCAACGACAAGGACCACCAGCTCCGAGCTCAATGTTTCCAGTGCCAGCATGTTGTCGTGAGGTTTTGGGGGTGAGAGATGTATGCAATCTCAAGGGTCACAAGAAATTAAATATAACAGGTTATGCCGGATTTATTTACAAAAACGTTAAAACCATTTTTAGAAATGACAACCGTACAGTTGTAATAGTAGTTAAATTTTCCTTGCATTTCACCCAAACCTGCCAATTTTGGATAACATGATTAATTAACTGTAAAAAGAATGAAGGATTGGCCAATAGAAATAAGGAATTAACTGTTGTAATTTCTAAAAGTGATCTCTTAAACTTACTGTTAGTTTATATTATACGGTACGCGTCATCTGAGGCCTGTAATTTTTTCAAAATGGATCAATTCAGATTATGATAAGGTCTTAGAGGTTATACAAATATTTAAGAGGTTTTCCTATACAAGTATGGTGCACTTCATCTAAAAACTTCCAACTGGCCAAATTGAAGAGTGAAGGTTTTATTATTTAACGTGCAATTAATGTAGTTAAACCCAAATTCCAGATACGTTAAATACCGATTTCATGCGTTTTATCACTGGAGTGGGAGGTTAAAGGTCGAAACTGCCTCCGGATATTATATACGGATAAGAGTCACATACAAAAATCAAGATACATCTCAGCGGCCACCCCTATG